AGAAAGAGAGGGAAGGAAGAAAGAGAGGGAAGGAAGAAAGAGAGAAAACAGAAATATATGCATGTACAAGATGAAATGTTGAAAGAGTAGTAATACATTATTCATGTACATGCATTTCTTACCAGTGTTAGGATTGGTTCTTAATTGGTCTCTTAAACCCAATTTAAAACATAATCATCATCACCGTCCTTCTTAATTGTGCTTCTTTACTTTACTTCATATTATAACATAAACTCTGTACAGGACCCTCCACTAATTTAGTTAGATGGTTTGGCTTGACAAAAATTGGCATAATGTTGGACTCGCATAGGCTGGTATAAAAGCATTAAAAAATGTAATATAAATTGCTGATTCTTTCAGAACACATTTATAGCACTTTCAGTGTCACGTACACCTTTTGCAATTTGCATACCACACAGCTGGAAACTTTCAAGAAAGGTAACTTTTGTTACTTTGGGGTTTTGTTGAGATTTGCAAAATTAAAATCAGCAAAAATCTCAATAATAAAGTACAACTGGCAGAATTCTTTAACTCACAAAAATTAAATCCATGAAAATGATTTTTTGGGTGGAATAGCAAAAGTTTAATTCCTCAAAAGTTTCCAGCTATGTGGTAGCATATGGCATCTACAAGTATAGTATTATAAAGACATAAGAACTAACATAAATTTAAAACTAAATAACATATAGCATTAGCTACAACTCCAAATTGAAATCATTAAGTGCAATGTCACTATCATTAGTTCTAACTCTTTTCACAGACTGTTCTAACTGAAGTGCACCCTCCAGAGCTGTTGTCCATTTTTCCCTCAAGAGATTAGCAGCAAATTCTATTGGTCCCCCAACACTAGACAGAGCTTCAAGATACTTCACACAATGCTTCTCTAGGTCAGACTTAGAGTCCAACAAATTCATTAGAGATAGAAAGCTTGTGGCAATGGTATCATAAGTTGGTGACTTCTGAACTTCCTCAGAAATTATATGAACCTCAAACAGTTTGTTAGCAACATGGACCAGAGAAAACTGTAGAAGTCCAGCAAAATCAGTGTGATTCTCATTCATAACTTTTTTAATCTTTTGCTTAACTGCTTTAATATCAAAACCTATAATAACAATAGAACATGCAGTACTTATATTGTATCATTCAGCATACCTCCTAGTTCTCTTCTTCTTTTAGTTGGTATTGGCATGATTCTAGTACTACCACTACCACTACTACTAGCACCATCTATAATGTATACTAAATGAATAATAAAATTGGCTCAACATTACCTGCAGTAGGATAAGTAGTTCTTCGTGATCTGTGAATATATAGTGTAACAGGCTTAGCCACACCTTCTATTGGGACAGAGTAGTGCAATGTTGGAACAGCATCAGGTGCTCCATAAACTGATACCATGCATGATGGAGGAAGAGAATAATCTTCTTTACCAAAATTGAATATATCCTCTTGATATAACTGTGTAATTTTAAATTATTTATGCTTCAAATAATCAAAATTTATTCACCTTAGCAGGTTTCATGTGAGGTTTAATAGTCCATCCAGTAAATGGTTCATCTTGTGGAGCATCAAACTTTAATTCAATATAACCATCAGGAGATGTAATACGAAAGTAAATATTGGGTCCTCTTTTTGCTTCTGAATGTTCCCCTTTAATGAACTATATATGCACATGTATACAAGAATCTATAGTACAAAACTAATACTAAACCTCACTTCAATGAGAGCATCTAATTTCTTAGCTGCAGTGAATGTTACTGCATCTTCAACACCATCCTCCTCATAATAAACCAGCCCAGCATATGTTGCAGCTCTTAATAATTCTTCAGGTATACTTCCAGTACTAGCTGAATCTTCTAATACTGACTGTTGAGGCACTGTATCTTGAATTAATCCATCATTACCTATAACATTGAAATGCAATTTAAATTTTAGCAAAACAAGCTGTTAAAAAAGTATACATGTATATATTGTAGGCTATTAGTTTACCCCCAGAAGATGAGTTCCTTGTTCTCAGGCTGTGACTAGATTCTGATAAAGGATCTAAATAACAACCAGTTGAATAACATACAGTAACAATGTACAAATATAATTCACCAGCTAAATGAGATGAAACTTCTGATGAAGAACTGGTGGTACTTCCTCCTCCTCCTCCTCCATCACAGCCACAGACAGATACAAGACAGAATTTCTCACGTTTAATGGATCCATACCAACTATCACTCCTAAACTCTCCTCCCTCTACTAATGTGAACTGGTAAGGAAGACTGGCTGTGCTCACAGGAGCTATTGCAAACTTTAAGTACCT